GCAGTTAACTATGTAACCACCTCTCCCATCCTGTGGGCCTTCCCTCTGAGTTCCAGTTTTTCCATGACAAGACACAGTTAAATAACATAAGCTCATCTCAGGATGCCGGACGCCCCGTGGAGCCCAAAACCCCCCAGCACGGCAGACCGTGGACAGAAACATTCAGGGGTTTGGAATCCACAGTGTGATGGTGCCCAGAGTCCGTGCAACAAGCACTGACAACCAGTGTTCAGAAGGATGGCCCAAGGGCGCCTCTCACCACCGAAGCGCACATCTGTGCTCTTCCCTACACTGTGCTGCTCTAAACATTAACCCCCTACCCCCGCCACAGAAGTCCCCAGAGGGCCTTACTCCACCCTGGGGGCCACAGTCAATGGGTCCTTGAGACCCTTCCAGCCTGGTCTTGAGTTTGTCCAGCCTCAGGCACCAGCCCTGCCATCATCCCAGCTCCAGGGCAGGGGCCCTCCCTGGTGGCGTAACAGGTTAGGGCGCAGCACTGCAAGCTGGCCGCAGCCGATGCAGTGCAACTTCCATCCCCCCGGGGCTGACCCACAGGCCAGCAGACCTCTCCTGGCCACCCGCTGCTCCCCGCAGCAGTGTACTCCAGTAGACCTGCCCATTCTGCTCCCCACTCTGCCTCTGTGACTCCTCTCACACACACCCCAAACCTCTGGTCTGTACCCCAGTTCTGTATGCATAAGTAAATAAATCTTAAAAATAAAAAGGACCCCGAATTGTTTTGGGGGTGCCGCAAAACAGGGTGGGGCAGCCCTGCCCCGGCCCCACGCCCATAGCTCACCCCCGTAGTAGGGCAGCCACGTGTACCGCCTCCCCTGGAACTCCAGGCCGTCGAACTCCGCGCACTGCAGCGCCCGGAAGTCTCGGGCGCGCGGAGAGCAGCTCTGCAGGAGCACACGGGCGAGGGCTGGGCCGTGGGTCACCAGCGGCCTCACTGCCCCGGGCCCTCCAGGGGTTCTGTCCCAGGAAGCTCCCGGACACCCCCTTCACTCCCTGTGGCCCAGCTCCGGGAGGCAGAGTGGGGGAGGGGTTATGTGCTCCCCCCCACCCCCCCACCTCACCTCCCCCCACAGGTGCCAGCAGCCTTGGGCTGACCAAGGAAAATCTCGGGGGCAGGGGGTGGCAAGGTGGCTGTGGGGTGAGGGGGCTCCCCCTGGGCAGCCCAGGCTGTGGACCTGCAGTGGGACCCACCATCCAGGTTGACCCAGGCATGGGGGCGGGGCCAGGGCCAGGCAAGGATTCCCCGGGGCCAGGGTGTTAATGGAAGAGGGTCCTGGACCCTGATGCCACCCTGCTGCCAGCGGCTTTACCTCCATGTGGCAAGTGCGATGACTGCGGGCAGGACCCAAGCAGCTGGCGCCCCCGCTTCTCCTGTGGGAGGACAGCACAGGGTGACCCACACCACCCGACACCCCCACCACCTTCTGGGGCGCTCTTGCAGGCCCCCCAGCTTCTCCAGGGGCCCTCGGTAGGCAATACTGGAAGCTGCAGGTGGAGAAGGGGAGGCGTGGCCCCCCACACAAACCCCCTTATGGTGTGATGAGTCCGCCTGGGGCCTGGGAGAAGCCGAGCTCCAGGGTCTAGTTATCCAGGAGCTTAGCTGCGTCTACAGGCAAACGTCCAGAGGAGACCCAAGTTTGCCCCTGGAGAGAAAGTAAGATACACTGGCACCCTCCTGGAAGCCTGTTCTACCATTTAGAGAGTGAACGAGTAGAGGCGCGTTCAGACTCTCTTCTCTCCTCTTCACCCACGTTCCAGGGGCAGGGCGCTAACCCGCGTGGGGCAAGGTGTCACTGCCCCTTCTTCTGTGCCCACCCGTCAGGGACGGCCCCTCAGGGACGGGACGTGTAGCAGGTGCTCGCTAAGTCTCTTGCGGAGCTCAGCAGCCACCTTGCAAGCAGGCTAATTAAGGCGGCAAGGGCACACAGGTAGGAATCACTGGCCATTATTCATTCTCAAGAAAGAGCTGCACCTGCCGTAGGTAGGTCAGGCCCTGTGCTCAGAGCTCCGGCTCTATGTGGCAAGGTGGCCTTGGGGTGAGGGGGCCCCCCTGGGCAGCTCTGGCTGTGGACCTGCAGTAGGACTCACAATCCAGGTTGACCAGGGCATGGGGACGGAGCCTGGAGCCAAGCGAGGGTACCCCAGGGCCAGGGTGTTAAAGGGTAGAGGGTCCTGAAGCTCAGGTTGGGGAGCAGCCTGTTCTGCTCCCCAAAACACTGCTCAGGGCCGTTCAGGCATGTGGGAAACGACTTCCTCTCAAATACCCCATGAGAGGCTGCCAGGCCGACTACTGCCTGGTGGGTTCTGCCCAGGTGGGGCCCTGACCCACAGAGTCCCTGGGGCTGGGCCCGCCTCCACCTCCCTACCTGTGGGAGTAGCAGGGGCGCTCCCGGAAGCTGATGCCCCCTCCGCAGGTCCGGCTGCAGGGGCTCCAGCCGCCCCAGGGACCCCAGCTCTCACTCTGCCGCCTCACCTTCAGAGCCTGCAGGAGAAGACACACTCAGGAGCCAGCACTCGAGCCCCACGGGGGCACTGGGACGCTCACCCCAGGGCTCCCTGCCCAAGACACGCTCCCCTGACCTGGCCAGATTGCCTATGCGCTGTCCTAAAGCAGACCTTGCTCCAGGTACCCCAAACACCCTCTACACAAGTTGGCGGTTTTCACCGGAAGAAGCTGAAAGCCAGGCCTGGAGGGTCGAAGGGGTGAGGCAGCAGGGAAAAGTACAGTTCCAGGGGCCCCCAAAGACGGGGGCCCCACAGCCAGGGGCAGGGCAAGGACCCAGGCACTTGTGGGTCGGCACTGTGTTGAGGCCCTAAGGAAACCCAGGCCAGAGGCTCGCAGACAGCAGAGGGGCTCGTCCTGCTGTTCCCTGGCCAGCCACATGGCTGCCGGCCTACCCGAGCCTCAGCTGCGCTGCCTCTGTGTCGGAGAAGCCAACTGCTGGCCTGGCAGGGTGGAGAAGCCTCAGGGCGGGGACAGAGAATTTCTCTCCTGACCATGACACCCGCCGCCCACCCCACACCGGCCTGTGCAGTGTCCCGAGACAACAAGAGATCTGCAAAGGGTCCCTCAGGCGCACCCAGGGATCTGCAGGTGCGGCCTTCCAGGAAGGCGCTACGGAGGGCAGAGAACCGTGTATCCTCAGGCGGGCTTGGCTCCAGCTGGGCAGGCAGGCAGGCAGCCCCGTGAGTCCCCGGGGCCTTGGTGGGGGACACACCAAACCCTGTCGCCCCTGCCTGGGTGGCCTCACGGCCAGGAGTTTCTATCGCTCTGGCCTATTACACTAGTAACTTGCTGTCACTCCGTGCGCGCGTGTTTGGGAGGGGGCTAACAGTGCGGCAGACTGTCTGGTCGAGACGCCCGTGGATCTCCCCTGTATCCCTTCTTCCATTGCGAGGGACGCTTAGCTGGTTACCTGGTTGCCCTTCAAAAAACTTCACTTCTCAGACTTCCTGCTGCTGTGACTAAGCTGCTGTCAGTGAGATACAAGTACTGGGCAGCACCCTCCAGTAATCGCCTTAAGAGAGAGCTTGCATGCACACTTGTCTTTTTTCTTCCTCCTGCACTCCTGCTGTCTGGGAATCAGATGCAATGGCTGGAGAGGCAGCAGCCTTTTAGACCATGAGGTAATTTGAGAACAATGTAGCTGGAGCAATGGAGCAAAGACAGAAGGATCCCAGAGGCTAGAGTACTTTGTGAGCTCAAACTCCCCTGCCTTCTGCCTTCGGCTGTTTATTGGGAGATGGATCAAGTCTCTCTTGTTGAAGGACTGTGATTTCAGACTAATAGAGTATAACCCTCATACATATAGTTCCCACAGCAAGATGGGGCATCCTGCAGCTGACATCAGAAGGCCACTGCTTCACCTGTGTTCTCCCATTTAACCCTCAGAGCAATCTGGTGGATGCCAGCGCCTAGACAAGAAAAGATGGGGCAGGGCCCACCCTGGTGGCCTAGAGGCTAAGTCTCAGTGCTATGGCAACAACAGCAACCCAGGCTGAGTTCAAACCCTGGCCAAGGAGTGTCATGACCTGCGAGGCACAGCAGACCTCTGCAGAGAGAAAGGGGAGCTACATAGAAAGGAGGGGACTGCAACGGGCTACTTCCCCCCTAGACACTAGATGAGCACTAAGAGCTTGACGGATGTTCGGCTCGACTCCACGGTCTTGCTGGGAGGCAAAAGACATGTGTCCTGTTTGCTGGAAGGGACTTTATTTTAGGCATCATCCTAGAAGAATCTCTAGGAAAACAGTCACTCCCATTTTCCAGAGAAAGCGAAGTCCTAACATGGGAACGCAAGCTCTTCCGCCCACCATCAACCACCAGCGACCCACAGGCTCTCAGGCAGGGTGGAGGGGTAAACACACACACGCGGCTGATCACAAGTGACAGCCATTGCTAGCTCCTCCGACACAAACAGCTAGTTATCCCTGTCGTATCACAGAGCCAGGCCCTGAATCAGAACAAGGCACACTGTATTTGCTGAACCACAAGCAAAGCCACAAAGGAAGGGAAGCCGGACCAACGGCCTTAGCTTTCACTCTTCAGATCATCTACACTTTCGTTCGAACCTGCTAAAATCTCCAAGACAGTCTGTCAAAATCTCTCAGGGCCCTCCCTGGTGGCGCAGCGGGTTAAAGCGCAGCACTGAGAAGCTTAAGCCACTTCCGCATGAGTTCGATTCCCGCCTGCCCTGGAGGTGACCACATGGCGCGGCAGACCTCTCCTGGCCAGCCCGCTGCTCCCCTCAGCAGTGTACTTCGTCGATCTGCCTGTTCTGCTCCCCGCTCTGTCTCTAGTGAATCCTCTTGCCACCCCTGAGCCTCTGGCCTGCACCCCAGTTCTGAATAAATAAATAAATCTTAAAAATCTCTCAATGAAATTAAACTGAAATTTACTTAAGTTCCTTTTTTTGGGTTTTTTTTTTTGATTTATTTGTGCATACAGAATTGGGGTACAGGTCAGAGACTCAGGAGTGGCGAAAGACTTCACCAGAGACAGAGCAGGGAGCAGAACAGGCAGATCTACGAAGTACGCTGCTGAGGGGAGCAGCAGGCAGGTCAGCCATGTGGTCACCTCTGGGGCAGGCGGGAATCGAACTCACTCTAAGTGGTTTCAGCTTCTTAGTGCTGTGCTTTAACTCGCTGCGCCACGATGGAGGGCCTGTTCCTTTTTTTTTAAAGTAAGATATTGAGTGTGCGTTGGGGACAGAGTAGGTGACTTTTCAAAGATAACATGTCGCCCCCATGCAGGAAGTGGGCCACTTGCTAAATTCCTCAACCCCATGTGGGTCCAGGTTTCCCCCAGTCTTGCTGTGGGGATTCCAGCTACCTCTGACCGAGCCCTGAGGACCCCCAGTCTGGCCCCTGGAGCGCCACCACCCGGCCTCCCCAGGCCACCTTCCCTGAATGGGGAGGGCTGGGCTTACTGGTGTGTGCAAGGCACCAGGGGCACCGGCAGCCGCCTTGCGACAGTCAGGCTGGGCCTGGGACAGGGGTCTGAGCCCAGGGCCCTCTGAGAGCTGCTCCTTACAGACCTCCCCTTCCCTGGCCTCACGCCAGCGGCAGAACAAGCAAAAGTGAGGGTCAGCCACATCCTAGGGCCAGGCCTGTCTGCTCCTCCACTGGCGACTCCCCGCCCACCGAAGCAAGCACATTGGCCCAGCAGCACAGACACATTTTGTTCTCTGTAATTACCCAAACTGTGAGCTGTGAGCGATGGTGTGAAGCCAGAAGGCCGTCTGGCCCACCCCCACCCGGGCCTGTCCTCACCTGCCTCCCCTGGCCTCAGCACCCCACCCACTCCTCCAATTCCCAGCAGGGACAATACCCAGAGCCCCCTTTTCTGCCGTGTTCCTCAGGGTATCAGCTGCCGGACGTGGGGGTTGATGTTGGAGGCAGAGGGGGGACAGGGCACGAGTGGTAGAAGGGGAGGAGGCAAAGGAACCAGAAACCCATGGCCTCAGGAGGCCTCTCCCCACCAGCCTGAGGTTGGGGCGGGGCGGGGCGGCACTACACCTCTGCTTTATTCCTCCTTAATCACCCACTACCTGTTCCGATCAAGCCAACGCCTGTCAGCACTGAGAAGGATCCAGAAGTGCCCTGGAGTTCATGGTGAATCCAGCCCTCTGCTAGAACCAGAGTGGGAAGAAGCGGTGGGGGTGGGGGAGGAAAGTTCTGCTCCTCCACCTGGGCACCTCTGCTCCCTGGAGGAGGCAAGGTGGGGGAAGGCTACTCAGGTGTTTCTAAGAGAGAAAGCCTCACTGCCTACTTCACTCATTTCAGCTGGGCAAGATTAGCCAAAATCAGGGGAAGCTCCCGTCTGGTGATTTGCTTAGGGTGGAATAGCTGTCAGGGGTTGGCGTAGCTTTCTTCCTGGGGCCTGGGCAGCCAGGAACCAGAAGACCCCTGCTCCAGGGCCCTTGCGGTGTGGCCCTGGAGTAGGGAGTAGAGACCCCAGGCTGGCAGTGCAGCCCTGGTCAAGGAGAGCCCCTACTCGCCCCTGGGTCCAGTGCTGGTCCAGGGCCTGTTGCTGCTGCTCCTGGGCCTTCTCACCTCCAACACATTTCCCCAGGGGGTCGGGTCCTTCCTGCCACCTCCACACACACCCCGCCCCGCCCCCAAGACAGCAAGCAGAATTTGGGTCCTTACTCCTGCCTGCCTACAAGGTTGGGGGCCTGGGGAGAGCTGCCTGCGTGCCCTGAGCTCCGGGGAGGCCTGGCAGAGAAGCAGAGTCCCTGTCACCCGGGACCCGGTGCATGCTCCAGGAACCCCATCTTCGGGCTGTGTTAGTGAAACAGCTTCTCTGACGTGAAAAGCTGTGTTCACTCTCAGTGTGCCCTCATGGGGTCGTCACTGCCACAGGTGGCTGTTTAAACTCATTAAAAGTCAAATCTAAGCTGCATCAGCCCCCTACGTGCAGGTGCTCAAACCAAAATGCTGCCGGTCAGAGCCGCGTTTGTATAATCTCAGAAAGTTCGATCTGAGCCTTGTGCTCTAGATGCTAGCCCCCAGGGGATGACTGGCATGCCTGCCCTCTAGGCCCAAACAGTCCAGCTGAACAGCCAGCCAGTCTGGTGCAGGCAGGTGTCTGGTGGACCGAGCCACCTGGCGCTGCCCCTTAGTGCCAGCCTGTCCCCCGGCCCTTGCACCTCGGAAGACCACCCAGGAGTGTGTTTTTCAGCATCAGGGTGTTCGCCACACCTTCAGAAGGGGAGAACAGTAGGAGGCAGTCGAAGTGGGCCCCCAGCAGTTTTGCAAAGCTCGAGCAGATGGCGTGGGGTTGGGGCCAAGGACACCCCAGTTACTTCCCCAAACTGGTCCTCTGCTAGAGTCCTCCCAGCCGCAGAGGGGTCTCCCGAGGCCCGGGAGGGCCGTACTCACCGAGGACCTGGGCACTGGGCCCAGCAGCAGAGGCAGGACCAGGACCAGGACCAGGAGCAGCCGCATCTCTGCCTGCCTGCGGGAGAGGCCTTGTTGGAGCCGGGGGGCTGGGGCAGGGGCACCCCCAGGCCAGGCCCCAGCTCAGTCCCCCGCTGGCTGGCTGGCTGGAGGGGGCCTGTCCCTGCCCCCCCCCCTCGGTTGCCCACCGGTACCCAGAGAACACAGGCAGGAGACTAGAGGGGACTCCCAGGGGCACTGGGAAGCGCCTCGCTGCTCATGGCTGGGGGAGCAAAGGCAGCCCTCTTTGGGTGTCTCCAAGTCCTAGGGTAACTTCTTTCAGTTTCAGAGGGAAAAAATAGGGCAATTGAAAATACTTCCAGTTTGAAAGGGAGTTCAGAAAGCAGTCAGACTCACTGTTTTAACTCAGCAAGAGAATCCTTTTATAAAAGCACTGCATAACACCATTCTTTAAAAGTTTCTCGTTAAGAAGCTTTTTATAAAGTCTCTGATGGATTCATAATGCTGTACACCTGAAATTTTAGTTCTAAACCAACGATGCAGCATTTTCAAAAGAGAAAAAAACAGTACCATTGACGTAAAGGTCTTTAAAAACGCAAATGCTTTAAAAATGTTAATTGCATCTTCTTTAAACCCAACCCAGCATTTCTCCGCAAAGCAAAGCTCCCAGTCAGTGAGTGCGGGCACCCATGTGCGTGCGTACAGGGGCTGGGTGTGTGCATGTGTGTACGTGTCACTGTGCTGAAGAACGACTTAGCAAAGTGCCCCATTCTGCACAACACATCAAGCAAGTACTGACCTGCATGCTTAAATCTTAAAATGTGTAATTCTACCAATGTTCTAATTTTTTAATGACTTCAGTTTACAAGGACAAAACAGAGCCTACATAAGCCAAATCCAGCAATCCTGAGCGACAAGCAGGCTCCTTTGCCTTGGCGCGGTGATTCCTTCAGTCATTATTTGTAGTCAAATCAGATTCCCGGGGCTCTGGGGGTGGGGGTAGCTGGGGCTGATGGGGGTTGCTGCCCCTCCCCCCACATGGCCC